TGCTCATCGTGCTGCTGTTAAAACAGTGATAGATAAGTTTTATGAATGTGTGGCGATGATTGAAGCTCTATGTGATCCTCTTGCAAATATGAATACAAGATGTACAGCATAAGGTCTTTTACACGCTGTCTTTGATCTGCTACCTTGACCTTTTGGGCTGATCTACATGAAAGGGTTAATCGTACACAGCAGTATCTGCAGACTAAAGGCTTTACTCTTGACAAAGTGGTGACCAACCTAGAGGCCTTAAGATTGTTTCTACTCAAAAGCCCTATCAATTGATGGAACATGCTTTTGAAAAGGCGCTTTTAAAATCAGACCAATGGAATCAGACCAATAAGGAATTTCGGTAGAGAGACGATTAAGGTTTAAGAAGAGAATGGCATGAGAAAAATTAATAAACGCTGAACTCTCTGTCAGAACAAAATAGTAGGGAGATGCTGGAGAGTATTGATTGCTTTCATTCTGAACCCACGATCAGATCTTCAGCGATCATGGAAGTAGCAGATCTGTTTTGGGCTTTCAGCCCAATAGTCTACTATCAGCAAGTGAAGAAGAGTTATTGGTGTCCGTTCCAAAATTAAACATTTCTATCAGAGGATGAACTTTTAAAAGAAATACCAAAGCTTAGAAGACACCTGATATTGAATTTAACCAAGTTTTGGACTGGTCAGTATTAGATGTTTCGAAATTCATAGCTGAATGGGACTTCCTAGAGTCTCTTCCAATACTCTCGCTAAGCCTTCAATTGTTTCTTGCGATCTGTGTGGCTGTGGCTTCATGTGAGCGGAGCTTTTCAAAACCAAGGGTTATCAAGAACTATTTACGATCCACCATGGGCCATTTAAGGCTTTCTGATATGGATCTACTATCAATTGAAATTGATATAGTAAATGATATTGATTTTTATTAAGTGATTGACAGGCTTGCAGCTTTAAAGACTAGGAAAGGAAAATATTTTGAAAAAAGTAAATTTAATGTAAAAATAACTACAACTTAACGTTGTTATAGTCTTTAAATACATTGACCTACTGACCTTCTATCACTTGTTGTTTCTTGTCATCGTTATACTGTGGACTTAATTTTAACAAGAATATATCCATCGTGGAAGTGGGGGAGGGGGGAGTGACACCATGAGTTTACCGCATCATGTGACACCATGAGTTTACCGCATCATGTGACACCATGAGTTTACCGCATCATGTGACACCATGAGTTTACCGCATCATGTGACACCACGAGTTTACCGCAACATGTGACACCATGAGTTACCGCATCATGTGACACCATGAGTTTACCGCATCTTGTGACACCATGAGTTTACCGCATCATGTGACACCAGCCCTTGTGACGCCACTGGTTTTTTGGGCATGTACTATTACCCCCCCCCCTTCCCGTTGTTCTGTTTCTCTCTTATCTCTCTTATCTCTCTCTCTCTCTTCTTCACTTTTTTCTCCCTCTCTCTATTCTCTTCTTCTCTCTCATCTCCCTCTCTTCTCCCTCTCTTCTCTCTTCTCTATCTCTGCTCTCTCTCTTCTCCCTCTATCTTCTCCCTCTCTTCTCTATATCTTCTCCTTCTCTTCTCTCTTCTCTATCTCTTCTCTCTCTCTCTTCTCCCTCTATCTTCTCCCTCTCTTCTCTATATGTTATCCCTCTCTTCTCTATATCTTATCCCTCTCTTCTCTCTTTCTCTCTCTTCATTATTTCTCTTTCTTTTACTCTCCACCCTATCTCCGATACAGTACAATCCCCACCTCCCATTGTTCTGCTGATAATAAAGAAAGAAACTCGTTAATTAATCATATAAATATCTATATAACCCTAACCCTTTTTACTGTTGTTATTTAAGCTCCATAGCTTGTGTATCTATGCATTGGATTGTGTAGGTGTGTGCGTGTGTGTGTATGTGCGTGTGTGTGTAATGTGTCGCCTCCCACCCAATTAGCGGTTTAGGTTTTTATTTGACACAATGGCTCATTTAAGCCACACCTACTTTTACATTGTAAATAAAATAAAGACATTTTTCTTTGCCTTATCAAGATCACATATCAAGTGTTGAAATTTTGATTAAATCACAGAGAACTTTTGATTAAATCACAGAGAACTTTTGATTAAATCACAGAGAACTTTTGATTAAATCACAGAGAAATTTTGATTAAATCACCGAGAACTTTTGATTAAATCACCGAGAACTTTTGATTAAATCACAGAGAACTTTTGATTAAATCACAGAGAACTTTTGATTAAATTATTGAGAACGTTTGATTAAATCACAGAGAAATCGCGCCCATAAAAATTATATTTTTAAGCTGTCCGTTGAGGTGGGTGATTGTTCTTGTGGCATTCTGTACACAGCCCAGCTCTCTGACTTTCTGATTCTGTGCCAAGCCCAGCTCTCTGAATGTCTGATTAGAAAATCTATAAGATGAAAGAGACTTGTTTTGTGGTCGTCCATGAAGTACGTCACGATCGGGAGAGGGGTGGAATATATATATATATATATATTAATCATACATTTAAAGGTTAAAATTGACAGTGATGTTTCACTTTCTGTCGTGCTGGATGTTTCTGACAGCAGAAGATGTCACTTGGAAGTGTCTAATTTTAATAGTGAAGTGTATTCGAGATTGAATTTCAATAAGTTGTTAAATTGTAAACAATTTCTTAATTTTTGTTAATGAGACGTACTTTATGGGAAGTGAGGTTCCTGAGATTTGTGACAGAGGGTGAATGGAGGTTGGGGGGGGGGGGG